TATTGATTCAGAAGAAGGTGACAAAGTGAACGGCCTTGAATTATGAAATGCTTTGTATTATTATGGGATTGAAGAGCCTGGAAGAACGGGGCCATCCCAACCCCTGGGGGTCTCTTCACCCCTTGAGTGCAGAGGGGCAGATCCTGCTCTAAGGGGACGGGTCAATCAGGTCTGCCCAACCAATGGCCAGCCAGAGGGGCTGCCTGCCACCTGCACCCAGGGGAGTGGGCTGGGGGGGGGGGTTCTCAGGGGCGGTTGCCAGCCAGCTCCAGCAACCAGGGCTCCCCCACAGATGGCCCCCCCTGGACCTGGGCTGTGGTCCCATGCTACTCTTTACCGGGCCTGGGGGGGGGGGGGGCGCAGAGAGAGCAGAGCAGGACCCCCACTGGGTCACGGCTGAGGAGAGCAGCCAGGAGGGGGCCCAGAAGGTGCTCGGCTGGACTCTTCCTTCCAGGTGGCCTGAGGGAGGGGCTCCAGAGGAGAAAAGGCAGTCCACCCAAGTGGAGAGGGTGGGCGAGGGTCCTTCCTTTGTTGCCAAAGGCACCCTTCTGCCCCCCAATTCCACTGCTTGGTGGCTGACCCCTCGGGCTCCAGGGCCATTCTCCCAGGCTCCAGTTGCCATGGCTATTGCTGGGAACTCGTTGCTATGGAAACGGCGGGAGGGTGCCTGCAGGGAGTCCGTCCGTCCGTCTCTGGAGCACAGGGGAGAGACTTACGCCATCCTTCCCGCTGGCCACGGCTGGCAGCTGGCAGGGTTCTACGAGGGGCTTGGTCGGCCCCGTTCCTCAAAGCAGCTCCGTCTCCACAGCCTCTAGTGGGTGGGTTGTAGCCCACCCCCACCACGTAGGAGCCAGTCAAGTGGGCAGGGAGGCAGCTGCCCTCTGTGGAAGCCCCCCTTTCATAGACGGCCTGTGCACTGTGTGGGTCAGGGGGGCTGAGAAGATCATCCGCAGGGCCCTCACCTCCTGACATGGCCTGTTTCGACTCCTTCCCCTCCAGATGCTGCCATGGAGCCTTGCACCAAAAACAGACCCAGGGAGAGGGTTTTTCCCTTCTGCCAACAGAAGGGAACACTTAATTCCCACAGTTCTGTCTAACGTGGGTAACCTAACCCTTCTTTACTCTCTCCCTTGGACTGGACATAGTTTTAGGCAACCCTTAATCCAGGGCTCTTCCAACTTGACAGCTTTGAGGCTTGTGGACTTCAACTCCCAGAATTCCTCCTCCAGTCCTGTTAGCTCAGGAATTCTGGGAGTTGAAGTCCACAAGCCTCAAAGCTGTCAAGTTGGAAGAGCGGGAACCTCAGGCCCTGCCTTGCCTTCCTTGCTGTCACTTTCTCTCAATAAAAGTTCCTTTTTAAAGGGTTTCAGGAGTTCCGCTTCCTTGCGGAGAGGCCGGGCCTTACAGCGGGCTCCTGGCGGGGTTGCCAACAGCGCCTCCGGCGGCGTATTTAGGCAGCGCGCCACCGCACAGCGCCTGGCCGACCCCCCCCCCCCTTTGGCGACTCGCTCCGGGCCCCAAAACGAGACCACGGCAGAAGGAGTTCCGAAACCGTAGGAAGGGGCCCAACTCTGCCCGCCGCAGGCTCACTTTCGCCTCCTCCAACACCCGGGTTCTGCGCGCGGCTGACGGGGGAGCGACTAGCGGATCTCGAGGGACCAAGCGCGCCCGCGACGAGGGGTCTCCCCCCCGGACGTCTTTCCCGGCCAGCGGCCGCCACGGCGGAGCCCCCTCGGAGGCGGGCAGGTGCGCCAGGTGCCCAGCTCCGCCCTCCCCCAGGGCCGGGCGGGCGCGGCTCCTGCTCAGGTACGGGCCTGCCCGCCACGCCCCGAAGGCGGAGGCGCCGCCACGCCCGCCCCGGCCAGCTGGAGCAGCGCGAGCTGGGTTGCACGACGCCGACGACGCCCGCGGCCCGCACTCGCCGCGGCCGACCGCGCCGCTTGCCGGACCCCCGCGCCATGGGGCCGCTGCTGCCGCTGCTGGGCTCGCTGCTGCTGCTGCTGCCCTCGGGCGCCCCCGGGGAGGCGGTGCCCCGCCTGAGCCTCGGCCACGGTAGGCGAGCCGCGTCCGGGCGGCGGGTGGGCGCGGGGCGGAGTCGCGGCCTCCACCGAGCCGGGGCGCGAAGGAAGGAGCGGGCGAGGGCCGGGCGGGCTCGGCGCCCCTTGCGCGCTTGCAGGCCGGGCTCTGGCAACGGGGCTCGCCTCGGCGGCCCGGCCTTCTCCGCCCCTCCGGGCTTTGGGGCCCCCCCCCCCCGCAAGAGCGGCGAAATCTCCGGGAGCGGAACCTGCAGGTCCCGGGTTCCAGACGGCGCCGCCTCAACACGCGTGTTAAGGAGCCTGGATCGGCCCAATGGCGCCCCCCCCCCCCCCGGGGCCCCCCGCCCCCCCCCCGGACCCCGCGGTCCTCTGCCCGGTGATGGCGGGAAGGGGGCTCGGGCCGCTTCCGGGCAGGGCTGAGAAACGGCGGAGGCCTCTGCCGGGCTCGCCTGGGCACCCAGCCCGGCTGGGCAGGAACGGCTCGGGGCCCCAGGCCAGCCCGTCCCCGGGCGAGAGGGCCGGGCGGGAGAAGGGCTTTGTCTCGCTGTGAGGGGGCCGAGCGCGGGAACCGAGGGCGGCGCGGTCCCCGAGGGGGTTGCGGGAAGCAGGACAAAAGAGGCGGGCGATTTGAGAAAAATAGCTGAGCTACAATACAACTTTTATTCCCTGCAAAAAGAGCGTATCAAGTTGCCAGGTTTCCCTTCTCTGAGGAACTGACATGAAATCCTTTTCAGCACATCGGTGGATATCGTCTTATTCCCGGGCAACTCCGGATTTCAAGCAGTCAGTTCCTCCCAGAAAGCGCAGAGTCGAGCCGAAGAAGGCTGGGCTTTCCGTTTTCCCAGAAGGCTCCGGGCCAAGGCCAAGCCGCGGTTAACGTGTCGGCATAGTTGCTTCTGCCTTGCCCGGGTCTCCGTGTCTTGTGCCCTGGGACTCTCTGCCCCGGATCCAGAAGAGCAGGCTGGGAGGTGTTTACTTGGAGGCACCCCCTGAGCCAGCAGGCCACTGAGGGCACCCGAGCCAGGTGTTCTCCTCTTGGGCGGGTTTCGGACCCGCTGGTGGTTGGGAGGGGACGGGGCCCCAGGACTTGGCGGGTGGGCGGGCTGCCTGTTCTGGAATGGCAGGCTGGTGTTGACGCTTGTTGCCCTCCAGGATGCGAGAGAGGGTGCGGCCAGTGGGAGTGAAAGAGGCTCCCTCGTCTTTCTTGGAGTGCCGCTTCAAGTGAGCGCTTGCCCACGTCACACCACAGACCATTTGCAGGATCCAAGGAGAGTTCAGACGCGATAGTTCTCTCAGGGAAGACGTTCGCTGCTCCTCTGCACTTTCATGAGTTGCACGGTCAATGCCGAGACTGGCTTGTTGTTAACAGGAGGACTCTCCCTCTCGCCATGGGTGCAACTGTAGTCTTAAGGTTGGAAGGAACCTTAATGTCAGCACCAGGAAACCGATTCCACAGGAAGATATGAACTCTAGTTCTGGGCTATCAGATAGAGCAAGGGTCTTCAAACTTGTGGACTTCAATTCCCAGAATTCCTGAGCTAACGTGACTGGAGGAGGAATCCTGCGAGTTGAAGTCCACAAGTCTTAAAGGGGCCAAGTTTGAAGACCCCTGAGATAGTGACAAACTCTTGCCAATAATGGAGGCTGAATATTTGCTCCATCCTCCTGGTTTCTCTCTCTAGAGGCTGCCTAGTCCAGCCCCTTGCCCAGGACAGCTATCCCATACTGCGGCATCCTGGCTGATGCTCACCTGCCTGCTTTTTAAACGCCTCTAGTGAAGGAGAGCCCACCGCTCCCAAGGCAGCTGATCCCCCGTGCAGCGGTAGATCCTCCTGGAAAGATGCTCTGATGCTTCCTTTGTAGGTAGGACCCCCGCCCGGTCTTGTCCTGTGTCTGCCTGTCTTCTGTGTTCTGGACACCTCCCTCTTTTGCAGGCACCTGCGGAACTTCTGAAAGCTAGCTACAAGAGTCTGTTCCTTCTTATTGTAGCCCTCAATCATGCCACAGCATTTTAGTCATGCTGAAATGCAGCGCTTGCCCTTCTGGGTGTGGCCAGACCAACCCAGAATAGAGAGGATCTTCATCTTAATGCTCTACTTCCGTTGAAGCCGTCTGGGATTGTGCCGGCTTGTAGACTGGATCCCCTTGCAACTCATCTCCAGTTGGGGATCTATCGAAACACTTGGATGTTTTTTGTAGGTCCTGCTATTCACTGTGGTCCCTGTAATCATAAAATCATAGGTTTTATGGAGATTGCTTGTTAACTTCTTTCCAGCGGTTAGAAACCTTTGGATTGACATATTTTACAGCTTTGGGTGAGTTTCCTTCAATCCTGGGCACAAGAAGTTTTAAATACACGTTTAGGGCTTACTTTGTTTTCTTTAAGTCCCCTTCTCACAGCTGCCTTGCACTATTGATTCAGGCGCACCTTATTGTCAGTGACCCCAAGATCTCCTCATACTTATTGTTTGTTTTCAATGAATATCCCACCTTGTGTCTACAGATACCTAAACGGAGCACTTCTTGCTGTTAAAGGATGTCTTGTTCCCTTTCACCCAAGCGTGGGCAATTAATTTCCCATGAGAAACCATTGTGGAGGGTCACAGCTGCCCTGTCAAACCCCCCACCCCCCCACCCTTCCTGCCTCGGTTTCCTTGTTCCTAATCCTGACCCTTCCCTCCCTGGCAGAGCCCCAGAAGCCCCCTTGCTGCTTCCAGCTTCCCCGGCCAGCCTCTGGTGCTTCAGCTGCTTCGCGCCTGTTTAATGCTTAGCTCAAAGCTGCCTTGGACTCGTTGGAAGGGCAGGTGATGAGTTCCAGGTCTTATTTTTCGGCCTGTGGAACGCTCCTCCCTTCCTTGGTCTGTAGCAGTGCGACCCTAAGGTGCCTGTGAGCGACTTTCTAAGTCAGAAGAGTAGATGGGTGGAAGATCGGTGGTCAGGGGATTCAGCTGCCTTTCCTTGTGGAGGGACCTTTGGCTAAACGGCCCCAGTTACTCTCACGAAACACAGGTGTGGTTGGACCTTTTGTGGTCATCATCTGGATCTAAACATCCAGTGCTGCTATTTTGCGGGGAGAGGAGCTTCTGGAATCTGGTTGCAGGTGTTTTTTTGGTCTTGGCTCCTGGTGCAAATCTTGACCTCCTGGTTGAGCCTGGTGTGGCCGCCGGGCAGAAGCTCCCAGTTTCTCCTGGGGGCTGTGAAGGCCACCGTTTGCCTTCTCAGCCCCTGTGAGAGATTAAATCCTCATGGATGAGGCCCCTGCAGGAAGCTGGGAGAGGGATCCGTTTCTGTGCTGTGGGAATCCAGCCGGCTGCACGGCGCTTCCGGGCTGGGGCTGTGCCACCGTCCTTTGGCATGCACAAAGCTGCCCGATTTGCCTGGGTTTTGCCACCCAGGCTGGGAGGGCCCCCTCCCTGGAGCAGCAGAGCAAGCTGGAGCCCATCCAGGCCTGTCGCCAAGCGCAGGCTTGCTGCAACAGGTCCCAGCGCTGAGCCGGATTGGTGCAGAGCAGGTCTGCCAAGGTCAGTGGGCAGGCTTCCCCTTCCAGGCCGGGCAGTGCCGAAGCCTCGCTTCAACGCCACCCTGTTGCTGGAGGAGTCCGCCCCCCCCGCCCCGTGGTTTTGAACGCCAGGGAGCGATGTTCCTCCCCCACTCCTGGCCTGGTGGCCGTGAGGCTCCTCCCCCTGGAGCAGAGCCACCGTCCGGCAGTGGGTGGGTCCAGCTCTGAAGGGCATTAGAGGCCCGGCTGCCAAGCCAGCCCAGCCCCTGAGCTGCTGCTGCTGCTGGGCAGCTGGGCTGGCTCGGCCGGTCCAAGACTGTCCCAGAGGAGGAGGTGGGCAGCAGGCCGTGCAGGCCCTGCCCGAAGCTCACCCATACTCCGCCCACAGGGTCCTGCAGTGGGGCGAGCAAGAGCTCTGGGCCAAGGGCTGCCTTTGGCTCAGCATGAGGGAATAGAAGGAGTGTCTTTTAAAATAAAATCTGGTGTTACTTCATCTTAAATCATTTTTAGCTCAGCTGCCCACAGAATTTGGGGTCCTCTGTCCAGCCCTTCTTTCCTTTTGTCTAATAACTCCAGAATATTCCCAAGCTTTGCTGGGGTACTTCGTATGGACAGCTGCTTCTTACAGGAGCCAGGGGTGCTGCCCTTCGGGGTTGGGGGTCCAAATAATGCTGGGCTTTGCCTGATGAGCAAGGACGGCCTTTTCCTCCTGTTGCTCCTGGCACACATGGGCAGGGGGGCAGGAGGGGAGAAAAGGGACCCTGTGCACGACCAAAGGGCTGGGGGGCAGAAGCAGCTGCCCCGAACCCCATGCAGCCCTTCTCAGGGGCATTAGTGCGCGCAAGGCTGCTGCGGGATTCCTCTCTCTGCGCCCCCGAAAGCGAAGGGCAGAAAGAAGGTGCAGGCAGGCCTGACAGTTGTGTCCAGGGAGACAAGCGGAAGCTCCAGGGAAGAAGGTCAGGAGCCACCATCCGTGGTCACAGAAAGTAGCCCCAGAAACCTTGGGCACAGGTTACAGCTGCCCAGATCTCATGTAAGGGAAAAGTGCCTCCATTGCTGAGAAGAGTTTACCTGTGGAAGTTGCAGGTTCGCCGTTCCCGGAAGTCTAAAAGGTTTTTCTGCACTTTGCAGGGGGTTGGACTAGATCAGTGGTGGCTAACCTTTTGGGGCTCCTGTGCCGAAAATTGCATGCTTGCGTGCCAGCACCCGGAAGGCAATGCGCACAGGCCCCCACGCTGCCTGCGCGTGGATCCCCTCCCCCGCCTTACCTGCCCTGGGCCCCTTTCATCACTTCCAGTATTTCCGGAAATACAGGAAGTAATGAAACGGGCCTGTTTTTCGGCCTCCAAAGGCTGCAGAGGCTTCCCTCGAGGAGCCTCTGGGAGGCCGGAAAAGGCCTCAAATGGGCCGAAAATCAGCTGGGAGGCGCACGCATGCGCAGTGAGGTAAGTTTGCCTGGGGCTCGCCTGCCCACACAAATGGCTCTGCATGCCACAGGTTCGCCAACATGGGACTAG